AAAAAAAAAAAGGAGAAGGAAAAAAAAGATCGAAGAAGCAGATACTCTCCACCCACCCTCCTGGCCCTGCTGGGGAGCCGACTCCAGGGATGCCAATGCTGTGCCCAGGCTGCACAGATGGCCTCAGCGGGTTCGGGTGAGGCAGGACCCTACCTCTGCAGGGGGACTCAGTCAGCGTCTCAAAGTGGTGGCGGAGGAACTTCTCCTGCTCAGGAGTCTGTGGCAGGGAGCTGCTGGGGATGCTGGGTCCCTCAGGCAGGGACAGCTCATCTTCTGTGGGACCTGTGCATCCTGACAGGGAGGTGGGGGAGGGACAAGAGGAGCCGCCAACACCATGAGTCATGGCAGACGACACCTGAAATAGAGAAGGCGGGCCCGCCTATCCCTGCCCTGTTGCCCTCAGGCTGAGAAGCAGGGATCCCCATCTTCCAGGCTCAGTGGGCGCCAAGTGCAGGGCCTATGCTTAGACACTGTGTCTGGCCCTAAGCCAGGCCCAGGCAGCAAGTTCCCTGCGTGTCTGGTCCCTGCTTACCTGGGAAATGGGGCAGCAACGTGACAAACCGAGGGGTGGGGTGAGGTGGCTGAACTGGGGAGTGTACGGCCTCGAAGCTGCACTCCAGGTCGGCCTCGGACTCCCCCGAGTCTGAAGGAAAGAGTCGGGGTCAGGAGCCCACAGCCCAACCATTCTGGTGAGTCAGGGCCAGGGTTATGCTTCCCTGGGCTCAATTTCTCCATCTGGAGGAGGGATGATAAGAGCACCCACCCCCGTTTTATGGATGAGGGAAGTTTCACATCAAGGAGGTAACAGAGCTGGGCTCTCAGCTGTGGACAGCTGGGCCCAGAATCCTCAGGAAGCGGCAGGGACCACTTGTGTCTTCCTCAACAGACTCTGAGCTTCAGGACTGGGTCAAAGTCACCACTGGTGCCCAGAAAGGGGCCTGGCTGAGTGCACAGACTGTCACAGGGTCCCTACCTGCCCTGTACTTACCCTCAGGCGGGCTCTGATCCTTTGGGCTGATGGAGGACACCCTGAGGTAGGAGTCGCCCTGCTGGTCTCCAGGCCTGGCCTCCACCTCCTTCCCGCAGTACTGGCTGCAGTGCCAGTGGGGGCGGAGAGGGAACAAAGACTTCAGCTGGAGACTCAACAGCCAGCCCCACCCGGAGCCCCTAGGCACCTGCTGCTCCTGCAGGAGCACTGCCTCAGCCTCCCCGCCTCCTCCAAATATCCCCTTCTTCCCCCAGGTCAGGCCCCCCCGCACCCCACCTGGAACCAAGGAACTAAGGCCTGGCTCCAGCCCCATCCCCACATCAATTGTCCCTACTCCCACAAGCCCAGTGGGAAGGCAGAGAGCAGTTCTTCCAGGGTGCAGCTATCAGCTGGGGCTTCCTCCAATTAAGTCTCCCTTGGCAGAAAGGACACCCACCTGTCTGTCCCTGTGACTGTCACTTCTGCCTCCAGGGAGTAGAGGATGAGCTCACTGGCCTCATTCGATGATTCCCTCTGTTGGGGAAGGAAGGAGGGGTGCCCGTGGCCAGCCTCCTGGGGACTCTCTGACTATGGGGAAAATAGCACAGACATTCTGAGGCAGCCATGGTACCTGGGGCCACCAACAGTGTGCCAGGAACCATGCTGGCAGCCCTGCTGCTGGAGGCTGTGACCCAGGGCCTGTGCCACGCACTCTCCTCGAGACCAGCTTGTCCTGGGCTGCCCTTGCACTATCAGTCCCTTTACAGATGAAGAGGTGTGGCACCAAAAATAGGAGGCCCAACCCTCTACGGGTCTATTTATATGAAGTTCAAGAATAGGAAGCCCAGTCCATGGTGAGAGGTCAGAACACTGGTTATCTTGGTGGGAGGACCTGATGAGGACGGGCAGAAGAAACAGGTTTCTAGGAGGTAGAAAACACTCCAGATTTTACCCAGAGTAGTGGACACATACGAATGACACGGGTAGTTCATCAAGCTGTATACCTAAGATCTGTGCATGTTACTGGATGTACATTATACCACAACAAAATAAAAATTATAGGATAAGATAAAAAGAATTTTGTTTGGCAAACAGTATAGGAAGAGCTTAAGTAACCTTTAAGAGCCCAGGCTGATACTTAGCATGGATTCCTGTAAAGCTCTCTGGGGCAGAAGAGATTGTTATGACCATTCAAAAACATTTTTGTTTGTT